GCTGATGAAAAGACAATGCCTGGAGAGTATGTCCCTGAAGCATATTCCATTTGTCAGTGTACTTGTAGCTGAGCTGATACTGCTTATGAAGATAATTGCTGCTGTGCTCTCAAATATCCTAGTGAGTAGACTTAAGTAATTTCTAAACCAGAGAGTTTGAGGAAGGAAGGTAGAATGGATTGGATCCATAAGAAAAATATTTAATTTTTGCTTATTATCCAGTGTACAGTTTTAAACTGTGATAGAGCTAAATTTCTACATGAGAGTTTGCATGGGATAATGTTCCGTTTGACTGAAAACAGTGTTGATAACACAGGGATGTTTCTGTAATTGCTAGCTAAGCCCTTTTCTGCTTCTCACTCCACCTTTGAGAAGGTGGGGGGTGCACAAGGAGCTGGAGGGGACACAGCCAGGACAGTTGACCCCAACTGACCAGAGGCTTATTCGAGACCATGTGGCATCACGCTCAGCTGGTTGGGAAGGAAGGTTGGCCAGGCTGCTGTGACTTTGTAACTGTCTGAGCATTGTTGGGTTGCTGGTGAGCAACTAGGGGTTATTTGTGTTATCCATTTTCTTTGCTTTTATGTCTTTGTCTTCTTATTTATTGTTTTCCTAAAAAACCTCAAATTCCAAAACACTCTTTATCACAGCCCATGGGTTTTCTCACTTTTACCCTTCTTAGTCTCTCTCCGTATTGACTGGGTTGGAGAGTGAGTGAGCACCTGTGTGGTGCTTAGCTGCCTACCGGGGTTAGACTCTGGTATATGGTTTTCTGAGGCTGAGATTAATACCAGACCGCAAAAGTAAATTTTAACTGAATAGTCTTTGCTTTGAGTATTAATCTGCTAGTGTATGTAGTCTGAAGCTTGTAAGCATTGTAAAAAATTTAAATAATTTCAGTGTTAAGCTGCCCATAGAGGCAAGAGAAGGAAATTGTGACAGTAGTATGTTGTTTCACTTATTTAAATTGAAATATTCCTCTTATTTTTGGGACTATTGTGTGCCTTTGTTCTGTTAACTGAAATGAAGTAATCTGTTTGCAGTCCTGAGCAGTGGTGCTTAGCAAACTGAAAATTCTCCATTCTGATTATTTTCTTTTTTTAATTCATCTGCACTTATAAGCTTTCAATACCTGCAGGGAAGAAAGAGATGTAGAATACTGGTTCCACGTAAAAAATTTGGATAATGCAGTTTAAAAGAATTTGAATACTTTTCCTGCAACATTTATTTGTGTTGATCAGAGCTATGATTTCGTTATGATTCAGAAATAGTCAATTATGGGGGAGGGTGTGAAGAATATGAGTTGATTTTCAGTTTTGCCCATTTGACAGCCAAATAAATTCATACACTTCTGGGAATAAATGCAGATGTATTTTTTTTAAGATGGTAACCTAGAAAACAGTAATCGTGTCAGTATAAAATGCATTCCCTTTTAAAATTTTGAATGTGGAATCCTGTTGTTGCCTTGTAGGAGAAAATATTTTCTGTAATTCATGGATATAAGAGAAAAAAGAGCAATTGTGGAGGATAAAGGATTTATTTTTATTTCTATGTCAAGTGTTGAGATTGGGTCCAGAATGTGCATGCAAGTTTTTTTACAAATCTGGAGGAAAATCTAGGAAAATCTAAAGAACATTTTAAAAAATTATTTGTTAAAAGATTGCGAATATACTTCTTAGAAGTATTTGAGGCTAACTTCACATTTCTTAAAAGAAAAAAAAAAAGGCAAGTTAAATACTTCCTGCAGCAGAAGGAGAAACTTGGAACTGTTTCCTTCCAACTTCTTGCCCAATCCCCTCTGGGCCCCTCAGTCACATTCTGCTAAGCTTTTTCCTTCTGTGTAATAGGCCTACTGTAAGAAGTCCCTCTCCAGCTCTCTTGTAGCCCCACTTTACGTACTGGAAGGTTGCTGTAAGGTCTTCCTGGAGCCTTTTCCAGGCAGAACAGCCCCAGCTCTCTCAGCCTGTCTTCATAGGAAGGGTGCTCTAGCCTCAGATCACCTTCATGGCCCTCAGTCATGCACTCCTTGACCCAAGAGAGCTGCTGCTCTTGTCACTAGTGCACAGGATGTGATGGAGTTGAGGAGATAGAAGGGAATACAAGGTAATGGTGAGGAAAGTAAAGGGAGGTGACCAAGTTTCAGTGGGTGAGGACAGGATCCTGCCAGCATCCATCTGAGCAGGAAATTCCAGTCCTACATGTAGCTCTGTAAATCGGTTTGAGATTTTTTTTATGTAGTATTGTGGTCAAGAACATGGATGATTTCTGTAACTTAAATTACAGTGCTACATTGTGAACACTTGAAGGCATGCATCTACTCTAATCTTGAACACACTATCTGGAAAAAGGGGGATTTTTTTTCCTTTTTTAAATTCTGTGGAAGAGGACAAGTAGGTTAGGATTTGGTCTAGATTTGGAGGCTTTCTGTGCTACACACTATAATTTGCTGTCTCTAGAGAGTGGTGTCCTTAGTGCAGTGTTGGTAGAAGTAGAGGAAGCACACCACTCTGTCAGTGATTAAGGCAGTGCCTGTTAAAGGCTGGACCTACGTGTTTGTGAACTGTGCATTTTATGAGACAATCACTCCCATTTTTTTAAATCAGTGCTGGTAATCCAAAATGCTTTCCTGGTCATGATCCTTTTGAGGAATTCAGGTGACTCTAATAATGTTCTGGAAGTATGGAGATATGTGTATGAACATCTTCAGCCAGAGACGTGAATAATTATCTCATTTGCCCTATACCTTAGTTATTTATTCACTGGTGTGTTGCTTCTCTAAGACTGGTCAATTTTGCAGATACATCAGGGACTGTTGGATGTGCTTTGAACAGGTCTAATGAACAGACCTTCTGAAGCAGTACCCACTCCTTAGGTTGAGCTAGCCTGGAAGAAATACCTGAGAGAGGATAATGTGTTTCACAGTTTCATTGTGTGAAGGGTTTCTTGTAAATTCGTCTCTGCATTCATGTGGCTAAATGCTGCTGATTTTAAGCATGTAGGTAAATAAGTTCATGCCTCCATCTCTTATTTTTAGATGTTTTGTATTTAGGTGGAAGTTAGCCTCTCCTAAATACCAAATGTGACAACCATACCTCCAGTAAGTGGTGAAAACTTTCACTGGCTTTATCCAGTAAGTCTTTCCCAGGACAGAAGAATAATAACTGCCTGCTCTATCTTCTAGAGACAGCTGAATACATGATGAGAGACTCTATATGCGAGAGCATTTTTTGGAACAAAAAATGTAGTGCATTAAATTTTAATTTTGTCAACATCAGTTTTTTAAAAATGAAACATTTGCATTCAGAGAGCTTGACTCTGTTGAGTGGACATCTGTTTTTGAACAATACTGATGTTTTAGAGAACAAAATGAAATTAAGAATGATGCAATTTTGTTGTATTTTTACCTTGTTTGTTTCAACCACTTGTTTGAGAACAGATTTCTGCATTGCTACTCTGATTTACTAATTTAACTATTGGATTTTAGTGTGCAGATTTGGATGTGGCTGTTAATTGTCAGCTTCTTCTGGCAGTCTGCTGACCAACCATCTTGTAATGACGGGAAATTTCAGAATTGTCAGAGCTTGGTTGAAAATAAATAACTTGCTGGTTGACTTAATAAAAATATTAACTACTGGCTGACTAGATAGGAAAATGAATTGTTAGTCCTGTTATTTCTTGCATTAGTTGCCAGGATTTTTGTTTTGCAAAGATGCCAGAGTTTTCACCTTTCTAAAGATTGCAAGAATTGTATAGTTAATAACAAAACAAACATTTTAGGTTCTGGTTTTTAATGTAGGATGGGCGGGTCTGGACAAATACTCAAAAATATTTCCAGGGAAAATGATGTGTAATCAAACTACATAGAGCTTCATAGATGAATGAGTAAAAAAAGGCCTCAGATACTTGCTAATTTTTTTTCTTCCAAGGTTCAATCTCTTTCATATGTCTCTGCCCATAGACACTCTTTGTAAGTGTAATGAAGAGATTAGTTGCACAGCCAGGAAATAAAAAATCTTTCATATTTTTCTGAAGTTTATAATACTCTGTATTAATGGTTGCAAGCTTTATCTTCCTTGTCTTTAATGTTAACTTTTAAATTTGGTGAGTTTCAAGAACAGAAACTTTTAAATTCCATATCTACTAAAGATTAAAAGTGACTTAGAGGGACACAAAGAAGTCACCGTATAACTGAAATAGTGAACTTCTAATTGCATTTGTACAAGCAACAGCTTTTGGGCATGAACCCTTGTGTTAGATTATTAATCCTGAGAATACTGCTGTATTAAAATCTCTCTTTATTACAATATTGGCAGCCTTTTACCACCATTTCTCAAGTTCCTTTTTACTCCTTATCCTGTATTTCCTTGGTAAAAGCTGTAAGTTTCATTATCATGAAAAACTGCTGCAAGAAGAAGCAGTGTGTGGGCAATGCTTTGTATGGCCATGCCTGAACATACTACCTCTAGCAGTAAGAATAAAGCCTTTTCCCTGGGACTTTCATGTTAGGTGTGATTTGATTAATTATACTTTTCCAGTCACAAAGATAAGCTAGCTAGAGCTGCTTGAATTGTGCTGTATTACCTGAAGGATTTTTCATTGTAGTTCTTGCAAATCTTTTCTGCAAGCTGATTTGTGTTGCATCAGATTTATGAACAGGCTGGAAAAAAAAAAGCTGGGACATCTGGGATTGATTTTTAAAAAACCAAATTATTAAGTCTCTGTTATGTACTAAAAACATGTTAAGATGGGGGTACCATCAGTGTTTGTCAATATTATTCAGTGTAGATGGAAACTCAGTTACATGCTTTCATAACATATTGACCCAGAGCACTCTATGTTCTTAATAATCATATTGTAAATGAAGCTTAAGACTTTAGAGAAATAGAAAAATTCCTTGATAAAAACATCTATCAAACTTCTAGGGGAGAGAGAAACTGCAATGACAAATTGTTGTTTAACAAATATCTCTGTCTTTTTCTTTCCCCCATAATCTTGTGTAGCAATGGGCCAAGGACTTGGTAAAACTGTCTGGCCCAAACCTGCAGGAGCATATCAGACTTTTACAAGTGGAAGAAGACATTCCTTTGTTGGGTTTAGACCATTTTTGAATAATCAAGACATAGATGGACATCAACAGAAGGATGACTGCAAACAATTAGAATTGGAAGATGTTCAGAAAGAGAATGCTTTATGTATGTACATATCTTTGTGTATGTGCCATTTTATTGCAAACTGGGATGCTTGGGGCTGGAGGAGAAAGGCACACTGAGAGCCATATAAGTGGCTCATGTTATTGAGCCACTTAAATAACATGAAAAGTACATTTCCTGTGTCTTTAATTTGCTTTTATACTAAATTTCATTCTATAAAATATAAGTAATCTAATAAATCTGTATTAGGCTATGTAGTTTTGCTTGAAGAACATTCATAATGAGTTAATGCATTCTAATAAACTAGAAAACAGTAACATTGTTTAGTTCAAATTATTTTCTCTCCAAATTAAAATTCACATTTGGAAGAAAATGCCTATTCTAACCTTCTGTTTAGAATGAGGCTGTGAAATATTTGATGCATCATGAACCAGGTTGTTCTCTTTGTCAGCCATAGTGAAAATTAGTTTAAGCCCCTAAAACATCTTTAAAAGTTCCTTTTTTTTTTGTGTATACCAGTTAGACCACTTTCCTTTCTTGTTTAATGTATATTGGATGTTATTATTTACCAAAATGCCTTCTGTGACATTAGCATCTGAATAATAATTTAATAGAGGAATACAGAATCCCTTATTGGATTAGAAATATGGTCCCATTTCTTTGTCTGAGGTTTTCAGCTTAAAAAACCTTATTTGATAGAGCCTTAGATCTTCAAAAGTGCCTGGAGGGAAAGGACTTGGAGGTACTTCTCAACACTGGCTGAGTATGAGCCATCAGTGTCCCCAGGTGGGCAAGGACACCTGGCCTGTGTCAGCAATAGTGTGGCACCAGGGCAGTGACAATCCCCCTAGGATGGGCACTGGTTAGGTTACAGCTCAAGTGATGTGTCCAGTTTTGGACCCCCCAGTGCAGGAAGGACATTGAGGGGCTGGAATGTGTCCAGAGAAGGGCAGCAGGGCTGGGGAAGGGTCTGGAGTACAAGTCAAATGAAGAGCAGCTGAGGGAGCTGGGGGTGTTCAGCCTGAAGAAAAGGAGGTTTGAGGGAGCTTCCTGCTCTGTACAATTGCCTGAGTGGAGGCTGGAGTGAGTCAGGTGTGGTTCTTGCTGCCCAATAACAAGTGATGGAACAAGAAAAAAGGGCTTCAGATTGCACCAGAGGAGGTTTAATTGGCTTTTAGGGAAAATATGTTCACCAGAGGGTTTCCCAGTCATTGAAAGAGGCTGCCCAGAAAAGTGGCAGTTGTCAGTTCCTGGTAGTCCATAAAAGGTGTGCATACATAGTCTTGGCAGTGTTAGATTTATGGTTGCACTTGATACATTAGTGGTCTTTTCCAGCATAAGTGATTCTATTGCTCTACAAGGTAACTTTTTTCATCCTCCTTCCTTTTAGACTATTTTGAAACTGCTTTCTTATTCTAATTTTTTTTCTTTTTAAATGATAATGGTATAGTGCTGTTTTAGCTTTGTATGCAAGGGTGGTTTTAATTTGTTGTAATTGAAGTGTGTTTACTGTTGTCCTTGCTTCATACATTTTTTTACACTTTCATCTAGTTAAAGGTCTATTTCCTGTAAGGCAGTGTTGAGTCTGGAGTGGCATCTCTATATAATGCTACCACATTTCTTTTTTCAGTTACACAGAGATGCATGCAGTTATTTTATGGGTCATTAGAAATTCCCTGTTCCCAATACAGTTGCTTTGTATGTAAAGTAGTTTAATAACAAAATGCCTTTCCTTTACATGTGTTTGTGTGTATATTGCAACTCTTCAAATTTATCTTACAGAACCATTTTGGATTGATTTACTTTCTTTGTCTCCACTAGGCTACATTTTTTCCCATCTGTTGTTATATTTGGGTGGATAGGTATTACCTAAATGCTGCATATTTTCTGAATATGCAGCATAGCATATTTCACAAGCGTCATTGAGTCCAATTCCTGGCTATAGGACATCCCCAAGAATCACTCTGTGGGGCCTGAGAGCATTGTCCAAACACTTATTGCACTTGGTTAGGCTGGTGCTGTGACCACTGCCCTGGGGAGTCTGTTCCAGTGCCCAAACACCCTTTGGGGCAAGAACCTTTACCTGATACCGAGACTAAACCTGCTCTGACGCAAGATCAGGACATTCCCTTGGGTCCTGTTACTGTGCCCCAGAGAAGAGATCAGGGTCTGCCCCTCCTCTTCCTCTCTGGGGTTCTTGCAGACCTCTCAGTTTCCTCTTCTCCAAGATGAGCAGACCAAGTGACCTCAGCTGCTCCTTGTGTGTCTTCCCCCTATTGGTTCCTCATCAATCTTCTTGGCCCTCCTTTAGACATTGTCTAATATCTTTATATCTTACATTGTGGTACCCAAAACTGCCCCCACCACCTTACATGAGGCTGCCCCAGAGCAGAGTGGGACAATCCCCTCCCTTGCCCAGCTGGTGATGCTGGGCCTGATGCCCCCAGGACAGGACTGACCCTCCTGGCTGCCAGGGCGCTGCTTACACATGTTGAACATGTTGAACTTGCCATTGACCAGGATCTCCTGTGCTGCTCTCCAGCATCCCAATTTAGTGTCATCAGCAAACTTACTTAATGTACCTTGAGTCTTGTGTCTTAGTTTTTTATGAAGATCTGAAGACCACAAGGATGAGGATGGAGCCCTGTGGAATTCCACTAGTTACAGGTCACCAGTGTGATTTCACTCCATTCACTGTCACCTTTTGTGCCTGACCCATGAGCCAGTTACTCACCCATCACATGATGTGTTTATGCATCTGTGTGCTGGGTGTTTTGTGTTCCAGAAGGATGCTATGTGAGGCAGCATCAAAAGCTTTGCTAAAATCCATAAAGATTACATGAACTGGTTCCCTTGTCCAATAGGTGGGATACCTTGTCATGAAAGGAAATAAGGTTTGACAGGCAGGACTTTGCCTTTATGAAGCTGTGGTGACTGTGACCAGTGGCTGCATTTCCTTCAGGTTTTTCACTACACCAGAATAGTCATCACTGTGATTTTTATCAGTCACTGAAGTGGACTGACAGGCCTGCCTTTCCAGGGTCATCCTTGCCCTCCTTGAAAACCGGGACAGCATTATTATGGTCCAGTTAGCTGGGACCTCTGCAGTTTTCCAGAATTGTTCAAAAATCATTGTGAGAGGCCTTGCTGTGACTAGTTGACTACCCTCAGATGAATCCCATCAGGCCTTATAAACTTACAGAGATTCAGCAGGAGCAGCAGATCCCATACAAGTTCAGGATTGACTGAGTTGATCATTCTCCAGCTCAGGTACTGGGGCGTCCTTGGACATCCTGTCTTCATCAGTCTTGAAGATGGGCAACGAAATCATTTAACAATTCTGCCTTGTCTCTGTCCTTGTCTGTGAGGTGACCATCCTCATCCTGTAATGGGCTTATGTTATTCCTGCACTGCCTTTGCTACTGGCATACTTAATAAAACTCTTTTTATTGTCCCCTGTGTTTCTGGCCTGCATCAACCCCAACTGAGCTTTGGACACATTAATTTTCTCCCTAGAGTGGCAGCAGCATCTCTGTATTCCTCCCATGTCACCTGGCTTTTGCTTCCACTGGCCATACACCTTCTTTTCTTGCTTTAGCTCCAAAAGAAGATCCCTGGTCATCCAAGCCAGCCTTCTGCCTCACTTGCTTGACTTCCAGCATTTTTGGAATCACATGTTCCTGTGCCCTTGGGACATGGTCCTTAAAAAGTGACCAGCACTGACCTCAGCACCTTCCAAAGCATTTTCCCAGGATCTCACTAACTAGTTCCCTGAGCAGCCTGAAGTCTGCTCTCACGTCCAGAGTTGAAGTTTTTACTTTTTCTTCTGTCAGCAGAGACTTGGAACTCTATGACATCATGTTCACTGTGGCCAAGACTGTCAACAGTCTCTACTTGGGTCATGAGACCCTCTGTTATCAAGCAATAAATCAAGGAGGGTACCTCTTCTAGTTGCACACTCCCCTTTAATGCCTGCACCATGAAGTTACCATCGAGGTGCTTTAGGAATCTAAGAAACTGTTGAAGATGTGTAGGCGGAGATATTATTTATAATATTAAATATATGACTGGATTTGATCCTTGGTAACTCAATATATGTGACTCTGCTTGAGCAAGAGGAATGGAGTGGATGATCTCTAGAGGGGCCTGCCTACCAGCCTTGGCTCATAGCAATTTTGTGGAGGAGCTTCAAGATTCTAATTAGATACAGTATTATTTCCTAGAAGCCAGACTCCTAGTGCTGAGGGGCATAGCTCTCATAAGATTCCAGTGCCACGAATTCACCAACCTAGTAATGGAGCCTCATCTAATGATTTAGATGAGATTTTGGACAAAAAAGCTGGACTATTGCCTTGGTTAGGAGTTCAAAAATTACTTGAAAAGTATTGATTTTGTAGTAGCAGTAGTATAGATGTTTTTACCTTCTTTAACTCTTGCTGCTAGATTTGATGTTTATTGTCCCTTTATGCAAGAGGTGTTCAAGTGTAATATAACTAAAATGCATTTGTTATGAAGCAGCTATTACCTGTAATACCACATTCAACCCTGCTATTTTCTTCTTAAGAGGAGTTGCACTCAAAGGTGCAGGTAAAAATTACAGTTCTTTTAGTATGTAATTTATAGTAGCAATAAGTGACTTTATCTGAATGTGGCAGAAGGCACAATTTAGCCAGTTAATGAATGGATAATCCAGTATGGAGAGAAATGTTCATTCAGTTTTCCTGTTATCTTATAATTCCCTTTTATATAAACAATGTAAAAATTCTGCTTGTGTATGTGTTCCTTTAATGCTTTTTTCCCTATCACATCTGTAGCTGGAATTGTATAATTTAGATCTATTTCTATAGGCTTAGTTTGTATAAATGAGAAGGTAAATATATTACTGAAGAATGACTGCATCTCTGATAAATGTTTCTATCACTTTGTACAACAGTCCTAGTAACTTATCCCTTCTTTTTAAATGAGCAGTTGTAGACAAGAATATTTCTGTTGGATTTGATTATTCCAGTGCATTCTTTCTTACAGCTTTCTCTGAAGATTCTAGTCCATTGGTTCAAGTTTCTGAGCCTTTGTCAAAAGATGCTGGCACTAGAGAACCTGTTTGCCAAAGTGCATCAAGCCAAACATCACCATTTTCTGTATTCTGTTATGACCTAGAAGGCAACCAAACCTCACGGGACCTGATGAATCCTAATGAAAAATCTGAGGACGTTGCAGAACACACGCCTGGAGGGCATAATGATTTGAACGGTAAAAATGGAATTGCTTTTGTAAACATTGACTCTTATGAGCCAGATAGCAGTGATGGAGATGAAGAGGATGCTCTAGACAAATATTCTTGGATAAGAGAAGCAGCAGGTCTAATTCAGGGAAGACTAGATAACATACTTTCTCAGTGTGAAAAAGACATGGAGTCTATTAATGACTTACAGTCCCGACTCTCTGCTTTCAACCACAGTGTTTATAAAGAAAGTTGCGAAGAAGCACAACCGTCTTTGGCATGTCCAAGCAATAGGAGACCTAAATCCGCTGAAGATGAAGCTACACCAAAAATTAGCCTGGGTGATGACAGTTATGAAACACAGCAGATAAAACATATAGTGGATGTAGGAATTGGAACCCCTGTACCAGTTGCTGATGTATTAAACATCTGTGATGGAGACTCTGACCAAGAAAATTCATCTGAACTAGTAGTGAGACCTAAAATTAGAAAACAAAATACTGCTAAACAACTGGAGAGAGAAAAACATCTCCCTAGTGATGATGAAGAGGAAAATGATTCCTGGAGGAGAATTGGAACTGCTGATGTCCAGCAGTGCCATCCTGAGTGTCCCTTGAGAGATGGCAAAGATGAGATGAGTTCTGGTATGTTCTTTCTCTCAAGAATGCGCAGTCATCAAAAGAACATAGAAATAGACTTAAGAAGAAATGCACTAGCTCAAGTACAAAACAATGTTCTAAGTGACAGTGCTTTTTGGAATGAGTTTGAAGACCACAACACACATTACTTAATGTCCCACAAAGATGAAGACAGGTAAAAGTTTTATTTTTCTATCTGTTTTAGTATTGAATCTTTTGTGTAAATAGTGTGTGAAACTGAACAATATGTTAGCAAATGAGACATAAAAACTTAAGGCATTTCAGAATATGATCAGATAACAAGATGCCAACTTTTCCTTTCAGTTATCCCTCACTCTTCTGGTAATGTAAAAAGCCTTTCCTTATGTCTGCAGTCAGAGCATCTTATCACTGAGGAATATTGTTTATTTTTATTTCATTTTTACTGAGCAGATGGAGGGTAAAGACTGAAAGCCTTGTTCAGCTTTGAAAGTTTCTTTCTAGGCTTACTCTTCAGAATTATTTTTTTTGCTTCCAAATCTCAGTATTCTACATGGCAACCTATTTATGTTATTGTCTCTATTGAAAGAAATTGTTCTTCCTTGTAATATCTGAAGAATAACTTGATAGGGTTTTTTAAACCCATTTTAATGGAAATTATTGAGACTACTAGGTGTTTCCAAAGTAACTATTAATTATGACAGTTTTAGATTTACAAATTGCTCCAACCTTGACATGAGAAGCAATGTTCAGGTTTCTCCTGCTTTGAGCTCTTCAGGTGTCCTGGTTTAGGGCACATTTTCAAGGAAACTCCAAAAACAGTCCCTCTAGAAAGCAGATCCAAGTGGCCCTGCCCCCAACTGATTCGGGAAAATATTTCCTTGGAGAAAAGTGGAAAAAACTGTTTATTTAACAAGAAAAGTATTCACAAGAATAAAAAAAGAAAAAATATTAAAATTCAGAGAGTCCTTGTTGTGGAGTGTAAGTCGGCTCCCCCAGTCTCTTAGTCCTTCCAGCACTGGAATGCAGCATCCCGGGCTCCGACTGGTGTGTGAGCTCCTGGTGTTTTTCTGGGTTTTCAGTCCAGAGCAGGCTTGAACAGTTCCAAGAAAAAGAAAAACCACAATCCACGGAACTTCTCTGCCTTAGCTAGCTAAAAACTAACTAAAAGCAAAGGAGAGCTCTGTCCCGCTGTCTGTCCATGCCACAGAGAACACAGTCCAGGAGCAGGAATGTGGAGGAGTGAGTGCAGTGTCTGAAAACAAACTGCGTGCTTCTTCTTCACCCCCCTTCACTCTCTGCAACAAGTCTTAAAGGTTCAAAACTTAATATTGAGCATAAACAGAACAGATGATTGGGGATGCAAGCACCATATAATTACTCTAAGACATCATCCAAAAGACAAAATAATTTGGATAAACCTTATGTTGATTAACTTCTATTCATAAAATGTTAGCTTAGAACTCTTCACTATTAATTGGAATTATATAACTGAGCTTATTCGAGGGTAAAAACATTTCTAACCGTATGAGATGTAGTAGTATTTGTGATGGCTTTTTTCCCTCTTTTTCTTGCAGTTTGCTTTCATCTTGTTGATTCTGTTCCCACTTTACCAGACATATGTTCTGGATATTGATGTGGCTCTCTGTTGATGTACATGTGCTTGTCATTCATAAGCTAATCTGCTTAGTAGATTGTATGTCCTGTATTTTCGTAGAGAGAAAAGCATGAAAATTAATTAGCATAAAATCTTGTCTTTAAAACTTAAAAGTCGCAGACTTGCAACTATGAGAGAACAAAATGCATTTTGAAATAGTAGACTTGGGGGCTTTTCTTTTTCAAGGTGTTAAGTATGGGGTCCTGTACTTGGTGGGGGGATAATGCCCAGTAGCAGCACAGACTGGGGGCTCACCCACTGGAGAGCAGCTCTTCTGGGTAGGACCTTGTGGTGCTGCTGGGTGACAAGTTGACAATGAGCTGGTCATATGTGCCCTGGGGGCCAGGAGAGACAGTGGTATCCTGGGATGCATCGGGAAGAGTGTGGCCAGCAGGTCAGGGAGGTGATCCTGCTCCCCTTCTTGCCCTAGTGAGGCACATCTGGGGTACTGTGTTCATTTTTGGTTTCCACAGTTGTAGAAAGATAAGGAGCTACTGAAGAGGGTCCAGTGGAGGCTGCAGAGATGATGAGGGGTCTGGGGCACGTCTCTTAGGAGGAGAGGTGGGATCTGGGTCTGTTTAGTCTGGGGAAGACTGAGAGGGGATCTCACTAATGCAAATAAATAGCTCCAAGGTGGGTGCCAAGAGGATGAGCCAGACTCCCTTCAGAGGTTCTCAGTGACAGGACAAGGAGTAATAGTCATACACTAAAACACAAGAAGCTCTACCGCAGCAAGAAGAACTTTACGGTTGAGGGTGGCAAAGCACTGGAACAGGTAGCGCAGAGAGGTCATGGAGTCTCCCTTTCTGAAGACATTCCAAACCCACCTGGGACCATTCCTCTGTCCCAGGTTGGACTGTTGAAGGGTTGGATGGCAGGGTGGCAAAAGGGTTGGACTGGTCTTCAAAGGTTCCTTCCAACCCTGACAATTCTGTGATTCTTAATAAAGGTACTTGCAAATGAATCCATCACTTCCTTGTAAGGTTTGCTTTTTAAAAATTTTAATTAATGCATGGTCTTTTCCCTTTTTGAAATGATGCTGCTAGAAAATTAAAATGCCATGAAGGAAGTGCAATATATTCTACAATTGTAGCATTGGCTTCCATGATGCACAATGATGGGTTATTGTAGCATGACAAAAAGAAACATGGATTGATTATTAGAAATGTTCTTGATGCTGATGGTAACTGAACCAGTAAATAGGAATCATGTATTTTTAACTTAGAATCCCCATAATTTGTGTTCTAAAACCTAAAAATACTTATGTTTATGAAATAAATTGTCAATTAGTGTGTACAAAGAAGTAGTATGTTCACTCTTGAAAGGTGAAGTTTTATGTTTAAAGATTTAAACTATATTTTATGTTCATGCAGAGCTGCATGAAAAGTGTATTTGACATACATGTCAAACTACATCCTTCAGGTCAGTTTTAGCTTATTCCCAACCCAGGGAGAAATTCACCTTTTGATTGCTGCAGCGTGGGCCTCCACCTCACATTTTCACTTTGAGGAGGTGCACAGCTTTTGTGGTGTTAGCATGGAAGCAGTGTGGGAAGGAGAAAGTTTTGCATGTTTCTTAGAACCATGTATGTTCAAAGGGTGGTGGAAGGTCCCAGGGCAGGGTTGGAGGGAGGAGGATCATATTCATTAGCTCCTTCCATTTAATTTTGGACTGTATGCCAAGTACAGGTTAGGAAGGGGTTCAGTCAGGGGGAGGGACTAGTGTCAGCTAATCCACATGCAGATGCTAAGTTCATGTGCTATGCTTTTGGCAAGTGACAAATCTGTAACTCTCTAACCATTAAGTAATCTTCTGCACCCATGCAGAACTGAGCACAATTAAATCCTGAGTTCTGAAATATTTAATGTTCTTCAGTTGTTTAGAGTTAGTGACTTTAGGTATATCCTTTTCTGGTTTGAATTAGTGTTTGTTTATAAACGTTAAATAGAACAAATTTGACTAAAAGCAAAGGAGGAGTGTTTTAAAGTGTGTTGGAAGTCATTCTCAGATTGTAAAATAGAGACAACTAAAACAAGGCATGAGTATTTCAGCTATATACAATTTTATCTAAGATGAAATTGTATAATATATATTAAAAACTTGATCAAACTACATAAAAACAAACAACATTCCAAACCAAACTCCCAACCCAAAACCAAAGAACCAAACAGATCAAAAGGTTTAAAAAGTCAATATTCAGTTTTAGATGGTGTAATGCATTAGATGAGATGCCCAAAATTAATGAATATTCTCATTTCCATCACTTTTCTTAGTCATCAGAATTGTGGTAGAAAAATTTATTCCTGCCTCAAATTAAAATGCTTATATATAATCTTTGTCTTGAATTTCTTTATTCTTGTAAAACTTGCAGTATATACTATGCAGTTTTTCAAAAGCACTGAAAATTCCTTAAACTGAAAGTTCTACTGGCATACATTTGTAATATTCGATAAAAGGAGGAAATTAGTGAGTTTTTAGGTGGGGGAATAACAATACACTTAAACATTCTGGGTTTAGCAGATTAGAGAACTATGCTGTGGATGTTGTGGATTGCTTTATAAAATGAGGTCCAGTAAGCGAGTTGGCTGTTCACATGTATGTTTTCTCCAACTTTTTGAAATGACAGAGCTAGTTGACTTTTTTTTTGATTTTCAGTAATTGTCACTGTAGTGAGTGAATCATCAAAGTGCCATTACCAATGGTAGCAGTAGTTTATCCTTCCTAAGATTGTGCTAGCACTACTATTTTGTTTAAGCTGCTCAAAGCTTATTTATTGCCCTTTCCTATGTGGTGGCTGAGCAAATTGTCTTTTCAAAACTCCCTGCCGTTCATATTGTTTGGGGTAGTGAATCAAGTAGTTTGAAGTAAGTAATCCATTATATCTTTCTATGTTACAAAAGGTCATTCTATATGGCTTATATGTTCTGAGATCTGTGACTTTAAATTTGTTTGGCTGAGAGGTAAGGCTAACATTGATCATTATTTGTTAATCAGGCAGTGCCACTGCTGCCATTTTTCTAATCTGGGAGAAAGATGTGTATAGTGAGACTGGTTTCTGGTTTTTAGTTGTTGCCTGTACTCTACATATGGGGCAAGGGAAGAACAAAACATTTTTGTAAAGTAGGATGGGTAGAATGTTTGAATTTTTTTTACAGACTAATTTTCTTTTTTTTTAAATAACTCTGTGTGCATTTGATTTGTAATGCATCTATAGATAGCATAAGATTAATTTCTCTTAGGAAAAAAGTTGCCTATATTGAGAGCAATGTTGATAGAAAAGTAGGAAATTATTTTCTTTCCCCGAAAGCAGTGTTTGAATTCATACTCTGTTACTTGTTTAAATTGCAGCTCAGAGTGCAGTGATGGAGAATGGTCTACATCTGTGCCTTCCTATTTTACTGCTGTGGAAAAAGAGCAGTCCTCAAGTGATGAAAGCTGGGAGACTGTCTCGTGCAGGGAGGAGCGTGACCCTGGTGTGCAGAGGAGCAGCAGTGGTGTGAAAGAGGACAGCACAGACTTCTGTTTCCAAGAAGAGTAAGCCTTTATTTTATTGGCTAACTTCCTACAACTTCCAGCATCACCAGTAGTAGGGTATTCACATAGCACTACATAGAATAACATCTAAAAGCAGTTACCATGCTAGCAACAATCATTTGCCTACATCACAATAATCTCAATAGTTGTATGCATTTCAAATAATGGAAAATATGACATTTCATGCAAGCAGTTCTTTGTAATGAAACATACAGAAACAATGAGAGTGTATTGCCATGTAATGTCAATATGGCTAATAGACTTAATATTGACTTTAAAAAGCCAGTTAGGCAAGTTAATTGTTAATATATACGTGTTACATAAACATCCTTTGATACTGCATAGGACTACTGGAAAAGAACTTGTTTATCTCTCTGCTTTATTACTTCTCCTATTCCACTGCTGCTCCTTATTTTCTGCAGCCCTTTCAGTGATTAAAGAAAACTTGAATTTCTTGCTTGCTCTAGTAACTTTAAACTTTATTTTTCCAGTCATTCAACTGTAGTTGCCTTTGCTATAAGGCAAAATTTGTAACTATGTACAGCTAAGAGGAATGTTCTTGGCTTTTTTTAAGCATTTAATATTGACTCTAGTTTGGATCTTTATAAAGCAAAGGCCACTCTTAAGTATTCTTTCAGCTTCTTAGGTGCACAGTACCTATTGCTAAGCAGTCCTGTTTGTTGTTAATGCTTTTTTAGTATTCTCCACATTCTTGGGTCTTGAAGAACTAGTGTGACTTTATGAAAACTTTATAACAACTCATCTCTTTCAGAAAAACAATAATGGAGGTTTTTAACTTTTTTTGATATGAACAGCATAAAAATGTATCCATCTTTAACATAATTCGTGTTTATTTTCTCTTCTATAAGGAAAGTGGGCCTCACAGCCTCATGCAACTCTGCATCCAGGTGACTTCTGCTCCTCTAGAATATCCAGGAATGAGAGGAGTCTTTCTCTTGCAAGATAGCTTCTCTTGCAAGTAGTAGCTCTTTGCATTGCGTTCAAGCCAAGCTTTGCCATGGAGGCTGCTCTGGGTGTCAAGACAATTTTTCTCCTTAGTGCCTTTAGGAACTTGTAGATAAATAAGATGTTTAGTACCAAATTTATTAACCTTGGCAGGGATGTTGTCTGTACTAGGGAAAATTTGAAACAAACTGCTTACTGTACTGCTGGCCTTGAGCATTAGACAAAACTTTGCCACAGAATCATGGGTGTTATTAGATTGTGAGTTCTGTGAATTTCTTGAGTTTTTATGGCAAATGCTTAATTCCTAATCTGTGACTCTGTAGTCTGGGAAACATGCCTGTTTAGTCTTTGTGTTTTGTTTGACTTTTGTTGCTTATGTATGTTTGTAAATTCTCTTAGCTTTTTAGTTTTAGCTTTTTATTTATTTATATAAAGGGAACAGGCATTATTGGAGGAAGGTGAAATTCCTTGGTTACAGTACCAAGAAGAAGTAGAAAGTAGCAGTGATGAGGAAAATGATCCAATTCGTGATTTTGTACATCTTGGATTCCTCTTGTTGGATGGAAATAACAATCTTGAGGATGACTCCAGTGTGAGTGAAGACCTGGATGTGGAGTGGAGGTATGCATTTGATAGTCGTCTGCTTTCATTTCAGAGGTTTTGTAGTTGCTATTTTGTTTTCTGTATAAGATGTCAAAAGTACTTATGGCTATCAGTATGCAGTTGCTTCAAGGACTAATAATCTCAGTTTTAAAGTTTAAGGTATTTCAAGTGCTATGTATCTTCTAATGAGAGAAAAGGGAATAGATTTGCTAAATCAGGCTGTGATTTGAGAAAATTTTGGTGCCCTAAATATGCAAGGCAGGAGTTTATTTTCTAATTTCATTTTCAAATGGAAGTGTAACAGAAATAAGGCAATATAAATGTAATCAGCATTCAAGTCAGTCCTATTTTATAATTGGTCTTTTCCTCCTTTCAAACTGGTGTAAGTTAGTCATTACAGATCTATCTTATTTCTCTTTGAAATACCATACACTTACCCAATATTATAATAAATAATTTTTATAATAATTTTGAATGCTTCACTCCGTTTTCTGTCATTAGATTACTGAAGGATATTGCAATCAATTTATTATAAAAATGCTTCAAATACCAGGAATAAAGTGATTGGAGCCACATACAAAATAGTATAATGTATAATGTGTTTGTTTTAGAATGTGATAGACAAAAGGTTTTCCAGTGAGAGACATAACACATATTCTCTTCTGGTTATTAAAATATAGACTTGAGTGCAGACATACCAACACTGTTGTTTTCTCCTTGTGAAGTTATGTTGTAGAAAAGCATAATAGGGACTAATGCATGAGAGTCCAAACTAGAAGTAAGGCCTGTATTCTTACACTGTCAGGCAGTAAGCTAGCAATGCAATTGTGCGATAGGGACAGAAGCTGTCTTTTAAGTGTTGGAGGTTAGCCTTGGTAAGCTTCTTAGTTACTAAAAACAGGAGCAAAGATGTTGATGGTCTGTTAAGTTTGGTCTGCTGAACATATGCAGACCTGTACATCATTTCACTTGTGCCACTTTTAAGATTTAATTTCTGAATTTCTAAAACAGAACTCAAAGGATCTGACACATGATGTAATCAAAATCTGATTGTTAGTTGTAAAACAACTTTACAGCAATACATATGAAACATATTAGCTGAACATATACCCTTTCACCGTAAGAACTCCCATCAGGATGTTCTGAAGTATATACTGTGGGAATGTGATACCACTGTGCTGGGACCAGAACTGCAGAACTGTCTCTGAGAGGCTGGGGCTGCCCCATGTGGGACAGCTTGTTCCAGCTGACTCCAGTGGACCCACCATAGGGTGGGTCCTCTGGGAAAGTACTAAGAAAGGATAAAAAATGTTGAACAGCAAGCAGTGTGTGAGAGAGAAATGAGGATGATGTCAGAGAAGCAACCCTGCAGACACCAAGGTCAGAAAAGAGGGGGAAGGAAGTGCTCTAGTGCTGGAGAAGACTGTGGTGGAACAGGTAAGAATTTGCTGATGGAACTGTATCTGGGACGAACCTGTGCTGGAGTAACTGATGAAGGACTGCAGCTTGTGGGAAAAACCCATGTAGGAGCAGGGAAACAGTGTGACGAGGAAGTAATTGCAAAGAGGAACTACCCATGGATAGACCACAATCACTGTTCCTTTTCCTCTGCCCTGCTTGGGATAGGAAAAATTAGAGGCCTCAAAGATTAAGGAGTGAAGTTGAGCCTGGAAATAAAGAGAGGGCTAAGAGAAAGGTGGTTTAGTTTCTGTCTTTGTTTCTTACCATTCAAATCCATTTTTATTGGCAATAAATTAATAGAATCACGGAGCAGCCTAAATTGAAAAGGAACCTCAAAAGATCCTCTGGTTCAACCTTTCAATTAAATTAAGGCTTTTCCTGAATTGAGTCAGTTTTGCCTGTGGTGGTGATTGATGACTCATGGCCCTTATTCTTGACCCATGAGCTTTTTATCTTATTTACATGTCCAGTTGAGGCAAGGGAGGGGGAGATCAGCTGGCTGGGTATCAGGCTGTTATTAACAGGTGATGTGCAATAATTTGATATGTCCAGACTTTGTGTTGTAACTGTTAATTTTGAAAATAAGACCATGTTTCCTAACCCATGTTTTTCAGACTACTTGATGAGTTTGGTGATGGCCTTGGACTTGGTCAAGCCATTCCTTACATGGAACCTCAATTTCTCACATATATGGCACTAGAGGGACACTTAGAAGCTGTGGAGGTATTAAAATATTTTTGATGGTCTTATATCTTTGATGTTGTAACATAAATATTTATAATTGAATCCTTTTTCAACTTAATCTGAAAATCAGGAGATTTTCAGATACTTTCCTGTGTTAGCTTGAACTTTTGGGTCAGCAAACATGAAAATACACCTTGAAAGTTTTTTTAAAGGATGTACTACAAAAAGTCATTTATCAGTACCTGCTCCTTTTAGTATATGCATTTATTTCCTCGTAAGGCAAATAAAGTTACTGGTTACTACCAGTGTAAACATATGCCATTTAATTCTAAAGAATTTTGCCAAATTCTCTACATAACAAAGGAAAGCTTATGCTTGAACCTATGCCTGTGAGTTGTCGCAGCTTTTTTAAATTTTTTTTCAAGAGTATATTTGGATTTCTTAAATTTTTATTTATCAGTAGAAGACTCTTTCTTTGTTTGACTGTCTTAGTATATTTGAAATTTTAAAAAAATTTTTAAAAAACCCCATCAAGTAATAAACAAACAAAAAACTCCAATCAGGTAAAGAAACCACCTGAAAAAAAAAAGTCTTTTATCTTTACCTTGAGCTATTCCATTTCACCTGTCTAATTTTGGATACAGACCAAAGCATTTATTATCAAGAACCAGCATGGTTATGGTCTTTGTCTTTTGTTTTTAACTTCAGGTTGGTCAATGTCAGAGTGAATATAGAGCTAGCTGAGATCCAGTTTGATGCAGTATGACAATTCTGGCACTGCCAGAAATCTCCCCTGCAGGATATTTGTCAAAATAAGAGCTAAATGATGTGTAGACATATATAATATGGTGTTACAACAGACGAACTGAATGTTTTGTAGGTTATGTAAGTTTAGGGCAGCAAGGGGCAGTTTGGCTGCTAGCACCCACTTTAAAGGGGTGAACTGGGCAGGCTGTATGTCATAGTGTGCTTGCAGACAAATACCAAGGGCACTTTGAAATGCTCTCTAAAGCTGGCAGACAGTGGAACAATCATAGATAATGGGGTTTTTTTCCATGAATATGTGCAAAGTCAATGATTTTCTGAATAAGGTTCCCAGGTCTTTTCCAAGTCAGTGGATGGGGCCAATCCTGTAAGTTGGCAGTCATGCAGTTTCCAGGTTTTGTACGTCCCCCAAGGTATATGGGAGGTCATCATTCATGGTCAAGTATCAAAGGGCCTTCTCCAGCTGTGTAGGATCTTCTTAGCATTACTTATTTAGACACACTTCATTAATGTGGAGAAGGTCTGTTGATACCCTTATTGTAAAAGCAGTGTTTTGAAGCTGTATAGAGAAGGTTCTTGTCTCTTTCATAGTGTCTGGTTCTCACTACATCAAAAAAAAGCAGATGAACTGCAAAAACAGTTGGCCTCCTCCTTTGCACCAAAGTGAGAGGTTCTGTGTAGAGAGGAGAAACTAATCACATCTTTTTTTTTTTAATCTGCAAATTAACACTTGAGAAGGAGACTGAGTTTATTACGACTCTTAAGTTTTGATTTCTCATTCCTATATAACAACATTTGCCTAAGTACTCTGTCAGAAGAAATGTGTTCAGTCCTGTCAGAGTGACCTGTAAAAGTAATCCTAGGTGATTATGTGCATGGCTGGTTGAGGAGGTGCTGTAATTATGTTTGTGTCACCAGGAACAGAGTGTCACTGAACACTATTAGCAAACAGGCAGATGACTACAGAGGTACCTGTGGTAGAGGGCACTGTGAATGTGGAAAAGCCGATTCTCTTACATAGCATTTGTGCTTGAAAGTAGCACACAAGTGTATGAAACTTTATGGTAGGCATAGAAGTCTTGGCCTGCTTGGAATTAGTCAGCAGAAAGTGGTAACTGAGAAATAAAAGGTAGAGGACTGTATGTACTTGTATGGACTATGACCACATAGACAACACAGGTTCTGAGTAAGAATTCCGAATATTCCCTTCAAATCTCAACCAGAATATAGAGCACATATACAGTATGAAATGGTTACTAAAATTGTTCAGGAAATATGAGCAAAATATCAATTTATTATTGCTTTGAAATACTTGAAAGGGATGTGACACAATAAAGCACCCAAAATTCAAGTGTATCTTAATTGGAGGGGAGGGAGTGGGAGAGCTCTATCCCAAATAATTATGACATTTGGACAGGAGAAGTAATGAAAGTATTAAATACTTGTTTTGAAAAGCTATGTTGTATAGCTTTTATAGCTCTCTGGGTTCCTAAAACTTAATAGAATATATGTGTGATTTTAAATATTTTTTCTTCCATCTGTTAGAAAGAAACTACATAGTTGGGAGTGTCTGGTTTACTTCATTAGCAGTACAGAACAGGCTAGTTGCCTCTGCTGCATCAGTGACATTATAAGTATTTCCTGTGCCATTTCACAGATGTGAGGAGCTCAAACCCTCGTAGGCTGTAGCACTCTTGTTTTGTAGCAAAATGTCCAGCATTTTGGTTTTGGTACATGGAGAAGTAAGCAGTCATGCAAGCAATAAGAGGAAGTACAGGTATTTTGAAGATACATCTTATAAAAGTTATGAAACAGACACTATTTTGGATTTGAAAATGTGGCTTTCAGCCTCAAAGTATATGGCTTTGTGTCTATAATGTTTCTTTTGTGTAGGTTTCAGAAGCAAGCAAGTAATACAGTTCTTTCTGTTTGAGAATACTCATGCTGAATATAAACAGAGTAGTTTGACACATAAATAATATTGCAACATTCTCTATCCCTGGGATCTTTTCTAATTTTTCCAGGTGTAATAGTTACTCTGCTTAAGCATAGTATTTTTACCTACTGTCTATTCTCAGACCATTGCAATTGGAGAAAAAAACCAAATACAAATACTAAAATCATCTTAATGTTAGTTAAGTCATACTGTCTGCTGTACCAGAATTTGATGGGTATTAGCTGTAAAATTGGAGCAATATACTTGTTTTGTAGGGGAACTTGCACAGAACACTAGGAATAACCCCAGGTTTTCCCTTGAACTGACAGATTTCTTGTGGCTATAGAAGCTGTAAATATTTCTTGGCTCATGCTGATCTCTCTCTGCCCCAAAGGTTTGACTGTAGGTATAAAGCTGCTGGTTTAGATCTGTGGTAGTGTGGTAGCTTGAGGTACCTTGTCACTGTGATCCAAGTCCAAGCATGTTTTCAGGTAGTCCAAGCATGTTTGAAGCTGTAGTAACTTCAGGGAAAGTTTAAGAGGAATGACAACTGGAGAGGTTTCTGTATAGTCCAGTATTTCTCTAGTATATAGAGCTTTTTAGTTAAGTGTACTCCCAACATGACAAAAATATCACACTATCTTACACTTCTTACTAAGAGAGTTTTGTAGCCAATAGTGTAAATAATTTTCAAGCTGATTAGAACAGTAAGTAGTTGTACTTAAATGATGCGACTAATTCATTCAGGGTGTGAACCTGAATGAATTAGTCACATCAGTTCTTCATTGGTTCTTCAGTTTGTGTGCTGTTCAAACAGGTTAGTACATTTCTCAGCAAATACAACCAAATATTCTGAGTTCTGTGATTTTATTATTTTTTTTTCTTCTGGATATCCTCCTGAGTGCCTTGCACAGTTGAATGTATGATGTACAAAGCAAATACACACGGCAAATATGGTGTAGACATAGTCTTAAAGATTTTGTATGGTAAAAAAATTGAGTTTAAAAAAAGTTACTTCAGAGCATTTGGTCTGTTTTAAGATTAGAAATATCTACATAGATCTTGAGTTTTTTATTTCTTGAAGTTTACACTCTTAGTGTAGCCAAGGTACTTAATATTTTTTGTTTGTGCCTGAGTAATTTAATAATTGAGGCCAGGAAACACGTTAATGAAGCATTTATTTTCAGAAAGACAATGAAAGGACAGTTTTAGGTTGGAAAGCTTTATTACGTTTTCAACTTGCTGCTTTTTCAGTAACTTTATAAAATTAACAAATGTTCACTGTAGATTAAGTTGTGACTCTGTCCTCGTACTCTAAGAATGCTTTAGAAGCAAGGCGTTGCTGTTTTGACCTTCGGTTTCATCTCATTCATTACAAAAATAAAAATGATAAAATGGTTAGTTTGACAGACATATCTTCCATTTTAAAAAGTAACACTGCTAGAATTGGATTCCTTTTCATGCTTGTTTGTTTGTTTTGTATGAAATGTTACATTTGTGAATAATAGAACTTGATCTCTGCTTACCCCTTTCAGACCGCTCTGGCACAGTTGGAGTCTCTTACATTTGATGTTGAACAGACTCATCCACCAGCTAGAAAAGAAACCATAGATAGTCTGCCACAGATTATTGTCACAAGTGACTACAATGGTATGGAAAAATAAGGAACAAGTAATTTCCACAAATTTTGTAAGAACAAATTCAACTTTCTCTAATACCATAGATGCAATATTTAAGTATTCTTACTGCATAGTGGTGTCTTAAGATCTTTTGAATCTGAGTATAATTTTGATCCATTTGGAAAAGTAATCTTTAATGGAGTTACTGTGACTGTATTTTGTAACAATTAGTGATACTGTTGGTAATATATGTATTTGAATCTGAGCTCACCTGAGATGTAAAACAAGGTATTAATGCTTTTTCTTCATCTTGGGTTTAGGTCAAGAGCAGTGTTGTACTATCTGTTGCAGTGAATATGTGGAAGGTGAAATCATAACAGAGCTACCCTGTCATCATTTGTTTCACAAACCTTGTGTAACTCTTTGGTTACAGAGAGTAAGTACTACAGGATTGGTGGAGGGTTTGGGGGCAGGGGGTGTTGTGTATATTGTGTATTCTTCTGGGAAGAACAACTTTTAACTCTTTGAAAATGTGGGATGAAATACCAAGAATTTATGAAATATTATTTGAATTTATGCATTTTAGAACCAAATTCTAGTGCAAGTGAGGAAAAAAATTTATATTTGTACTCACCTGAAGGTCAGTTTCTTCAATAGAGGGAATATTTCTGTAAGGGAAAACATGTTTTCCTTTACTAAGAATGAAAAAGATGAATTAGTTAAAACTTTTGGTACCAGAAAAGCTTTCTTTACTATACTTCTGTCTTGAAGTAAAGACAATGGAATCATTTTCTCTGAGAAGAGCAAATGGTTAGGTCTGTCTTACCACAATGTCAGGCCCATTTATTGTGACAGAGGCTGGCAGAGGAAATAGTGAAGCGCTTGTAGATTAACTTTTTTTAAAATTACCTTTATTAATTCTATACAATATTAGATTTAATTTTCATTATCTATAATCACTTTGCTTCTAAATGTTTTAAAAAGGCTTGCACCATGTTGAAGCTAAACTAAAACAACTGTAATTAATGAACAGGTATGTTTTTTTTAGTTACACTTCTGCTCTCCTTTATGTGCTGTACAAGCCTGGATTTGGTAGTTCTCAGTGAGCTTACAGTGTAACAGAATTTCCTCAAGAGTATAAGAGAAAGATTAATTGGTTTTACCATGGGATAAATGTCAGAATACCTCTAGCATGGAGGCCTGATGGATTTCCTTGATGGGTTTATAATTCTTTTTACTGTGATAATGTTGATTACCATAGTCATTTTTCTTGTTTTACACATCCTGCCTTTTTTTTTTCTGTTGTTATAGTAAGCAGCTATTGCTGAAAACTAGGTTTTTCAACATCTTAGATTTGGGCTGTACCTAATTTATTTTTAATCTTTGCCTCAAAAAAAAAAAAAAAAGCCCCACCTATAAAATCAATGCTGTGAAGAACTTGCAGAGAACCTAATGCATTTGCTATGTAGCTGGAGTAAAAGCAAAACAACTCTCTCTTCTGAGTTTGTCAACTCTAGGTAGCTGTCAGCCCTAGGTAGCTATGCAGTCAAATTTGAGTTTGAGGTGGTGCTGTTGTGGAGACCCTAAATACTTTATAAATAATAATTTTAGGCTTTTCAGTAGAATTGAATGCAAACTGTGCAAATGACTTGGTTTTTTTTTCTCTTTTTGTAGTCGGGAACATGCCCTGTTTGTCGTCATGTCCTTGCACCTGTACTTCCCGAAGCAGCTGATGACACTGTTTTTTTTATTTGATTGATGATTCAGCATCTTCTGTTAACATTGCTACAGGACCCTCAGACTAGGGTTGAAAATAAAATCTGCCACCAAAATAAAAATGTAAATTTTGCCTGTTTTAATTATAATGTGAAAAAAATTCAGTATAAAATATTGATATATAGTCATGGATTGGCTTGGGTTGGAAGGGATTCTAAAGATCTGGCTCCAACCCCCTTTGCTGTGGGCAGGGACACGTTCCTCTAGACCAGGTCACTCCAAGTCCCATCCAACCTGACCTTGAACACTTCCAGGGCTGTGGCATCCACAGCTTCTCTGGGCAACCCGTGCCAGGGCCTTACCACCCTCACCATAAAGAACTACCTCCTAATATGTGATCCAAACCTACTTTCTTTTTGTTTGAAACCATTCTCCCTTGTCCTGTCATAAGCCATTGTGAATAGTCCCTCTCCATCCTTCTTGTAGAGTCCTTTCAGGGACTGGAAAGGACCTCAAAGCTTTCTCTTCTCCAGGCTGAACAATCCCCATTCTCCCAGCCTTCCCTCCTAGCAGAGGTGCTCCATCCCTCTGATCACCTTGGTGCCTCCTCTGGGCTCTCTCCAGCAGCTCCATGTCCTTCCTGTGCTGGGACCCCAGGGCTGGAGGCAGCTCTGCAGGTGGGGTCTCAGCAGAGCGGGGCAGAGGGGCAGAATCCCCTCCCTGCCCTGCTGCCCAGGGGCTCTGGGTGCAGCCCAGGACACACTTGGCTCTCTGGGCTGGGAGTGCCCATGGCTGGCTCATGTCCAGCTCTCAGCCACAGCACCCCCAAGTCCTTCTGGGCAGGGCTGCTCTCGATCTCTTCATGCCCAGCCTGGGCTGGCACCAGGGATTGCCCTTACCCAGGTGCAGCACCTGAGCTTGGCCTTGCTAAACCTCATGGGATTCCCATGGGCCACTGCTCGAGCTTGTCCAGGTCCCCCTGGATGTGTCAGCTGCACCACTCAGCTTGGTGTCATCTGCAGATTTGTAAAGTTTAATGAAGACATTAAACAGTTCTGGTCCCAGTAGTGATCTTCAAGGCCCACCAGCTGTTGTTGATCTGAGCCATTGAGCACCACCCTCTGGACATGGCTGTCCAACCACTTTTTAGCCCACTCATCAAATCCATTTCCAATTTAGAGAGAAGGATATTGTGAAGGATGCTGCCATTTATCTGAAGTCCAGATAAATGACACCCCTAACACTTTCTTTATCCACTGCTGTACTCACTCCATCATAGAAGGTCACCAAATGGGAAAGAATGTGAAACCAAATGGAAAAAAATAAGCTTGTTTCTGTCCAAGTTTCATGTTATCTATACATGCACTAGTACATTGGAAGCATTCAGATTCTGGCAGGTGTTGGTAAGTTAATTTGTTTTGACCGTTAGACAAAGAGGTAACAATCTTTTTCTAACTAGCCATAGCAATACTAATTAACGTAGTATGAAAAGAATTTCCCTCAAGTCAAAGGGAAAGTTCTAAGGGTTTTGGATAAAGTTACATGGTAAGCTGCCTCATAAGTCGAAACTCTGTAGATGCCTTCCATGTTATACAAGGCAGAAAGCACCTGTTTCCCCTCTTTCCTTATTCTGTGCTTGACTGAACACATGAGAAAAACAAACATTTTTTTAATAAAGCTGCAAAATGCAAATACTTTCTGTCTCTAAGAAAATAACTCCATACAAACCACATAAGCTTATATAAGCTGTGAAAAGTGTTTAGATCAGAGTGTCTGAGTTGAAAGGGCCCTTACACATCACCTGGTTCTAACCCCCTGCCGTGGGAGATAGGTTGTCCCAAGCCCAGACAGCCTATTCCAGTGCCTCACCACCCTCACAGTAAACAATTCTTTCCAATATCTAATCTAAAACATTTCTCAGTTTAAAACCCTTAGCTCTCCTCTTATCACTCTTATCACCCTGGTTAAAAGTTCCTCTTCAACTATTCTGTAGCCCCACTGGAAGGCTGCTCTAAGGTGCCCCTGGAGCATTCTCATCTCTGGGCGGAACAACCCTCGCTGTCTCAGCCTATCCTCAAAGGGCAGGTGCTCCAGCTCACTGGATGTTTTTGCAGCTCTCCTCAGGTTCTGCTTGAGTATGTCTATGTCTTTCTTAAGCTGAGGGCTCCAGAGCTGGACACAGCACTCCAGGTAGGGGAGAATTCTCCATGGGAGTGAAACAGGAAGGCAGAATCATCTCCCTTGACCTGCTGCCCACAATCTTTTAACACAGCCCAGGATATGTTTGGCTTTCAGGACTGCCAGTGCATGTTGCAGGGTCATATCAAGCTTTTCATCTTCCAGCATCCCAAGTACTTCTAAGTGCTGTTCTCAACCCATTCTCTGCCCAGCCTGTGATTTATGTTGTACTTGGAATTGTCCTGAACCAGGTGCAGGACCTTGCACTTGGCTCTGTGGAACTTGATGAGATCCACACAGGCCCCTCTCAGGCCTGTCAAGGTGCCTCTGGGTGATATCCCCTGCCTGCAGTGTGTCCATCACACCACACAGATTGGTGTTGTCAGCACATTTGCTGAGGGTGCTCTGATCCCACTGCCTGTGTCACTGACAAAGGTGTTCAGCAGGGCCAGACCCAACAATAACACTGGAGGAATCCACCAGTCTCTGGTCTCCACCTGGGACCATCAAGCTGTTGACAACAACCCTTTGATTGTGACTGTCCTGTCTGTCAAATCTGTGTGTCTCCCATTTAGAGAGGAGGCTATTTTGAGGCACAGAAGTCAAGGACTCCTCTCAGGGTGGTGGACTCTGGATCCCAGACTGTGGTTCTGTTCCCACTGTCAGCATGTCTCTGTTTGAGCACACTCTCCAAGCACTATGGCCTGTCTTTCCTTTCCATTTAATTCCCTTTTGTCATCTTGTAACTCCTCTGTAATCTTACCTGCAGATCTCTGCAACTCATCTCACTCCTGAGACTAAGAATAGAAACTGATCCCCTTGAAGAAAGTCGTCGGGCAAAAAATCCAGTTCAAAGCCATCCCTTTCTTTTTGCAATCTCTACAGGTTTTCTGCAGTTTACCTCCTCTGAGCTACAGCCCTAAATTGTCTGTGCACCATCACTTCCTATTTTCCTTTTGAACCTGCTTCCTTCCTTTCTTCCTTTGCAGACTGTCCAAGCCATTCACATTTCTTCCTGACATTTCTTGCTAACTTCCCCTCTTCTTTCAAACTGCATTGTATGCCATATTTGGTTTATGGTGCTCATACTACTTGTTACCAGACCTTCACCCCTCAACACTGGAAATTCCTCCAGGGCCTGATTTCTGTAGCCCAGGCTACCTCCCGTTTTGGTGTCCCTCCTAAATTCCTTCATACTAGTGAGAAACAAGTCAAGAAATTCTTCTCCTCTGGTCTGTCTTCATTGTCTGGACTAGAAGGCTACCCTCGATGCTCTCCTGTATTTACCTGGACTGCTTGCAGTTGGCTGTGCGATTTTCCCAGCAAGCATCTATGTGGCTGAAGTCTTCTATTGGGATTGTGGCCTACAAATGTGATTGTTCCTGCAGCTGAAGAAAGAGCTCTTCACCAACCTCCTCTCCTTGATCCAGTAATGTGTAGTAGACACCAACCTCAAGGTTTCTGTTGTTGGTGTTGTCTCTAATTTCCATAAGCTCTTGAGTTGCACATTGCTGTTCTTCAAAAACATCTTTGTGAAATCAATCTCATTTTTGGCATAGAGGAAAATTCCCTCAACTGTCTTTTTGCTTGTCCTTTTTGAATAGTTTATAGCCATCAGTCAGAGCACTCCAGTTGTACAATTCATCCCAGCAAGTTTCTGTAGTAGCAATCAGGTCATGGTTATGTCTCATCTTCTGTAAAGAGGTCGGTAATACCTGAACTTTTAATCTCTTTCACAAATTTAGTGCAGGTCACAAATATGTGAGCCTTTGGAGGCTCTTACACCAACAACATTCAACCTATAGTACCTTTGTGTTTGCTTAAGCAGTTTTTCCATTTCCCTGTTAGATTTGTGAAACCTGTGGGATCTGAAGTAGCTTAAGTTGATTCCTCATTTTATTTATTTTCTCTATTTATTTTAATTCCTCACAATTATTTCCTCATTATATTTCTTTGGGCTTTTTTCTGCTTTATCACTTGTCTCTGGTCTTGCTTTGGAGTGAAAGTGACTTTAGAACACACTGAAAGTATTTTCTTTCTGCTGCTTTTAACATCTTCTCTTGAACTTTTTTGTGAGGTAGGTGATCAAACTTTTAGGGACAGCATTTAGGATCAGTTGTTAAATGTTTAGCTATTTCCAACATACTACCTTCTTGTTGTATTTTTAAAGATATAAAAATTCCTTGTGTTCTTCAGTTTGTTTAAAGAATTGCAAGGTTGGGTTGCACAAAAACTAAGTATAGCAACAAAATAATTCTTCTGATCATGAAGAAGAGTATAGTTTTTGAGAGCTTTTTACTCCAGAGATGGTTTACCCATTTTAAATTAAAATGAAATTTTAAATTATTAAATAATTTAAATTAAAATGAAATACATCTTGCTGGAGAAGGGAACTGGCTATAACTTGTTGACATGATGTTACGATATGATTTGATACTTGTGCCTTATTTTGCAAAGCACAGAATTTTTCCTAACTTTGGGGGATTTAATTTTCTTTTTTTGTTGGCACTAGTAAGGCCTACTGAGTGAGCCTTGGAACTCTTCTTTTTTTCTGGTTTTTTCAGGTTTGTTTTTAGTTTTTTAATGGGTTTTTTTGTTTTTGTTTTGTTTGTTTTGTTGTTGTTGTTGTTTATAGAAATCTCCCCTGTTCAGGAATTAGTGCTTTACAGTTTGAATCCTAAAAGCTGTATTAATACTGTAGTGATGCTGCATGGAATGCTGCATAAATACTTTGGTGTATTCTCCCAAAATTCCAGTTTCTCTTACTTGAACACAACAGGGATAAAAGTGTGGCTTTCTTAGGCTTTTGGACAGAATTTGTCCAATACAGTGCTTCCTTTAGTCGATTTTTAGTTGTTAAAGATCAAGAAAATTTATTTCTATTGTAACCTCCTTATAAGATACCGCTATTTCCACTGAACGAAATACACTGCTGTAGTTGGTA